ATGCCACATTTTTTGATCAATGAACAAACAAATCTATATACAGTATACAAAATATAGTGGAATGTAGTACATGGGAGGATGTGCCAGGTTATGTCCTTGAGTATCAACTGAAAAAAAATCATTCAAGGTGAGAAAAATGAATATGGAATTCATCAAGTCCATTAATGCTATTAATAAAGATATTAGTCCCATTTCTCAGATGAGGAAACTGAGGTCTTGTGAAGTCATGCAGCCTGCCTGGTAAATATCAAAGATAGGCCTTAAGTGCAGTTTACCTGCATCCACGTGCCTGATATATGTATAAGAACTTAAAAATGGTTGAATGACAGAATTATAGACTCTGAGTGACTACATGGTTAATATGACTTATTCTTGAATGACCTCAATTATTAAATAACAAGGGGAAGAAATGAGGAATCAAAAGAAATTTACACATTAAACTTTTTTTCCCTTCACAATTCTCCCTGATTAGAAATAATACATTCATGTTCCTCTTCTGCCCTCCACCAGAGGGTGCTCAAAAGCAATTATATAAAGCAATACAAGATATGAGAAACAAGCCATTTTAATTCACAGCATGGAATGTTGACCTATGTGCAAAAGAGTTGACTTTGAAACAAAACTCTTGATTCAACTGAAATGATTTACTTGGTTTAAAGTTATCTTGCAATAACAACTTGCCCATCTTCTTGTTTAGTGAGTACTTTATGGTAAGCAAACCTGAATGTTCTCTATAAATAGGTCTGTGAAATACTGTGCCACTGTGTAGTGTTAAGCTTGTTTAGTAGGGCTATAATTCTTTGGTATAAATTAGTAGTCTTCAGAAGTATTCTGAAGTACTTAAAACTTCCATTGTGCTCACTAGAATAAATAACAACATCCAAGAATACTGTGGTATCTATATGTTTAGTTAATAGAAATGTATCTGCCTAGAAATTCCACTAATTCTATTACAGGAAGCAACTCTTTTATCTCCGTAAGGTATAATCTGGTTGGGGGAGCTGAAATGCAGTAGAAGATTTAAAACAACAAAAAACTTCCTGTGTAGAACAACCTGTTCTTGGTAGAGAAGACCCAAGATCATATTGGACCAATGTGAGGAAGCATAGATATGGGCAATTACAATGTTAAGGAGAAGAAAGTAGCATCAGATGATTCTCCTGGATGCTGTCAGATTAAAAGAAACCCCACCAAGGGGCTGGGGATTTAGCTCAGCGGCAAAGCGCCTGCCTGGCAAGCGCAAGGACATGAGTTCGGTTCCTGGTACCGGAGAAAAACCAAAAAAAAAAAAAAAAAAAAAAAAAGAAACCCCACCACTGCACCACTGGCATGATGGCGTGTCCTTGTAACCACAGCCCTCTGGGTAGCTGAGGCAGGAAGACCACAAGTTTGAGCCCATTCTGGGAAACAGAGCAAATTAGGCAGTGCATCAAAAATTTTAAAAATTTAAAAGGGGCGGAGATGTAGCTCAGCACAAAGACCCTGGGTTCAGGCCTCAGCAGCAGGTGCACGCACATGCACACACGCACACACGTCAGAGGCATTTTAAATTATTTTCATTTACATTTCTAAAATCATTTAAAGAAAATATGAGATAATTAAACCAAGATAATTTGTATTTCTGTAATTAGCTATAACATCTTTAAAAAATCATAAAATTATTTAGAAAAACCTAGCTTCAGAGTCAAGAAAACATGCTTGTTCTATCACTAAATAGATATGAGACATAGGGGAAACAACTACCTCTCTGTACCTCAGTTTTCTCCCCTGGTAAACAGTAGTATTACATTAGTTCTTTGTGAGGGAAGAAACATTCCTCTCATTTGAAATCTTTCTGGATTGCGGGGCTACTAATAATAGAAATTTAATAGTAGCCTTGCTGTCTTTTCTCCCTGGAAATTCTCATTCATATCTTGGAATGGGGCAGAGGATGCTTAGCAGGGGAAAGTATAATGATTTCATGTGACTCATCTAGGGCTTCAAGATCTGTGGCCTCTTGCATGGGATACTAGCAACTGATGAATTTTAAAGACCTACCAACTCTATCTTAATCTAAAATGAAGGCATCATCTATAGTGGACATCCTTGTTTCTTTGCACTGTGCTTGCTTGCGTGCATTTGTGTGCAAAGCAAAAAGAAAAAAACTCAAAATTTGTTACTGTTGGTATTTATTTCATTAAATCTTATCAACTTGCCAAATCAGTTGAAGACTGTAACACAGCAAGGCCAGGCAGTGAACAGTTTTCTGAGCAATTTACACAGGAGTTTTGTAGATAATTGATCTTGACTTGCATATCTCTTTTAATATTTGATTGGTTCCAGAATATTATTAGTCATTTCCTTTTAACAGTGTGCTTTCTTGTGAGGTGACTAAACTGCTATTTAACCCTGCTACAAGAATGTGGCAGTGGGCTAGTCCAGACAAGTGAGTACGTACTTGGTAACTAGCATTCTCAATGAGCTTGCTTCAGCCTGCCACACATTAAAGCTCTGTGACTTTGCTTGCATATAAGTCATTCTTTAAAAAAGTTTGAATTGTGAATAAAAATAAGTAAGCTTTTTTGATTTATGCTCTGGTTGGCAGTAAATTAAGTTCCAGCCTCATGGCTCAGTTTAGTTTAAAACGACCTCAATAATCTATCCAGCTGAACAGTGAGCATCTGAAAATTTAAAGGAGTGATCCTGACATCAGTCATCCTCAGAACTCCTTAATCACAAAAGGCTTTGTATTGGGAAGGTTGTGTAGTAGAAAACTCCATGACCTTTGGAGTTAGAACTGGCTTGCCACTTAGTAACTGATTTACCTTAGACAAGTTATTCTACCTCTCTAAGCCTGTTTTGTGGTCTGTATAATCATAATCTTTAATTTGCAGAGTTGTCATATATGGTAGACATGTATAATACCTGACAAATGATGGCCTCTAGGAGTAGCTGTTTTAATTAAGCCAAAGAACACAATTGTTGTTTATCAGACCACAAGACAAGATATAGTAGGGTCTTAATAGTTGTTTAATTGTGTAGGTTTTTATTGGCTAGGAGATAAAACTACTTGATAGTAATTTTGGCTCACTACCCAGAATCTCTGTGGCCTTGGGCAAGATTCTTCATCTCTGTTAACATTAGTGACTTCATCTTTTATTGTTTTGTTTGGTTTGATTTGCTGAGGCCAAATATTGCTATCTGGCTCAAGTGAGCCTCAAACTCAAAGTTCTCCTGCCTCAGCCTCCTGAATGCTGGTATTATAGGTGTGTGCCACCACACCTGACTTGTAACTTCATCTTTTAAATGTATATTATAATAATAACTGCCCACCAGGGTTACTGTGAGAATTAAGTACAGTAATTCATGTAAAGCACTTCTTGTAATTTAAATATATATTAAGCTCATTCATAACAATTAAAAAATCAGGTGTTTTAAAAAATACTATTTGTATACATATGTTGAAACTTAACCAAATTGTACACTTCAAAATATATGTAGTTTATTGTAGGTCAGTTACCCTTTATTAAAGCAATATTCAGTGCTGTTCATATTTATCTTCATCTCCTCAGAGTATGACAATGATTGTGTTCTGTGCGAGTGCCCACTAGCATTCTCAAGCCTGGATGGAATTCACTGTGCTGGTGCATTGTTAGAACAATGACAAGCTTGAGATACAATTTTTAAAAAACCTTTCTTTTATTAATGTTCCCTTTAAAACACAGAGGATCACATTTTACCACTTGATTTATTTAAAAACATACACAAATAATAAAACTAGAGTGTCAGACTTGTGCATTTGCATTAATAGGTATGCCACATGCAGGCAAGGAGCCTACAGATGGCTTAACCCAGTCTTTTCAGTAATATATTAAGATTGTACCCATTAGAGATGAAAATTGTGTACTGCAACAAAGTTTAAGGTGGCAAGGGACATAAATAATGTTGCAATTGCTGGGAAAAAGCTGCATAAGATCTTTTTTCATAATACTGGTCCTCTTTTGCTGTTTAAAAAAATTACGTTTTTCTGTTTTCGTTATCTCTTGGGTTTGGAGTTATAGTTTTTACCCTGAATACTTCCTTCCTTTTGATACTGTTGACTGATAACTTGATGCATGTATATTAATTAATAGGGACGAATAAATTGTTGGAACATATAAATTTTTTAAATGTATCTTTTAAGAATTATTAGACCCTTTTGTTTGAAGCGAAATCAGTTAGTATTCATAGAACTGAAAATGAAGTCATATTTGCTTATGTGTACCCAAATTTAATTTAAACTTCTGAATTGTTACTTTCTGACCTACTGTAAACTACAATAGAAGTAAATATTTGTAAGTAGATATTTACAATAGAAGTAAATATCTGCCTTAATTGTTTTGGCTAAGTCACGTGGGTTCTTTTGATACTATTTTAGATAACACTGATAATGAGGATGGGAAACTGACTGTGTACTAAGTACCAAGTACCATGCTAGATTGTTTACAAGTATTATAAGTTTATAAGCTTTAACAATATATGAAATCGTGTTTTTTTTTGTTTTTTTTGTTGTTGTTTTTGCCGGTACCGGGAATCAAACTCATGACCTTGCACTTGCCAGTCAGGCGCTGTGCTGCTGAGCTAAATCCCCAGCTCCTGAAATTGTGTATTAATACAGATTAAAGCTTGAAGCACTTTGTAACTATGTGTTAAAATGAGAAAAAAACTAAATGCCTTCAGCATATACTCTTCCAGGTACTGCGAGTTAGGAAATAGAGGTGGTACTGTACTAATTAGAAAATAGAAGTGCACTTCGGGGGTGTATGATTTGCCTCATGGTTCACTACCACAGTTTTCTGGAGCTCCAGTCTGTCATTTAATGACAGTTAGCCTTGGTGACCATAATATCTCAAATGTGGAAAAACTTAAGCTTTCTAGTCTAGTTCCAAAAATAATAGAAAAACTGAAAATATCCAAAAAGTAAAATTCTTTTTTGAAACATAACCACATTTTGTTCACAAGCTGGATTCTATTCCCTGCAGATGTGTCTTGCTGAGTCAGGGCTCTCTTATCCCTGCCATCGACTCACTGTGGGAAGAAGGTCTTCACCTGCACAGACCCGGGAGCAGTCAGAAGAGGTAAGCCCATTTGCCAGCTTTCATTGAACAGAAGGCTTGTGTCCTCAACCCACCTGCCCACTTCCTATTCTTTTCTTTTTTTAATCTGCCACAGCAATGAATTGGTAAAGTTAATGTGGCGTGAATAAAGTCTCAGTAAATTCGTGAAGGCAGGAGCCTTCCATGCAAGGTTATTGTTAATGGGCTCCTTCATGTTCTGTTAGTTTCATGTTTCAACAGACAGAATTCAGACAGATGCTTAAAATGATTTTTACTTAGAACTGTCACATTGACAAGGAAATTTTTTATTTTTTCTCATACCGATATAGTTGAGTACATTTAACAGGCTTGATCCTGGGAGATCTTTGAATGCATTGGGTGGGGCATCTTCTATGAGCCAGATGCTGCTTGATGTTGGGTAACAAAGGTGGATAACACCGTGGCTATACCAGGGTACTCAGAGTGAAGGGTGATCAGTAAACTGGTAATGACGGCATAATGCAAAAAACACAATAATAGCAATATACACACAAAGAAGAGACAAACCAAAAGGGTAGATAAGATTGAACATGTTTATATATATGCTGTGCCTCTGTGTGAATATTAAAAGACAGTACTTTATTTTTGTTCCATACCTACAGGTAGTATTTCCAGGCCTAACTCTGACCTTGGTTATATTAATTTTGAAAGATGAACGAATATAGGCATTACCATTTTTTCATTTAAAAACTATTAATAGAGCTCATACTATGTGCTACAAGAAGTTATTACCATGATTTTAAAAGGATTTAACATTTAAAAAATACATGTACCTAAATATGTAAGACAAATACTAAGACAATTGAAGGGGGAAGCAATAATAATAGGGGACTTCAGTACTTTACTTTCTGCAGTGGACAGATCATCTAGGCAGCAAATCATTAAGAAAATACTGAATTTGTACTACACTTTATACCAAATCAACTTAACAGACGAAGAGAAGCTGCAGAATATTTCCTTTATGGGAAAAGGTAAATGTCTTGACCAAAGAAGGACAAAGAATGACTCTTCTCCTCATAAATGTATAAAAAAGGAAAAATCATGTGGATTTTGCTGTTTTATCCCAAACTGTAAAAGTTAAGTGCATAATAAGTGCTTGCTTAAGATGGAAAGGGCATCAAATTTGTGTGTTGACATATAAAAAAAAATCACAGTGTATGTAGGGGTTGTTACTATTTGAGATTGGGACCATTCAGTGGAGGTGTTTGAACATATTTCTTGTGAAAAGAGGTGGAAGGGGCATTTACTGAACTGTCTAACAAGTTAGGTAGCCTAGAAGAAGTGGGTAAATTTCTAGAAATATACAACTTACTAAGACTGAATCAAGAAGAAATGGAAAATCTGAATAGATCAATAAAGAGTAAGGACATCGAGTATGTAATAAATATTTCCCATTAAAAACAACCAAACAAACAGGCCCCCAGGGTTTCATTGCTGAATTCTACCAGCGTTTAAAGAATACCAGGATTTCTTAAACTCTTCTAAAACATCATAAAGGAGAAAATACTTCCAAACTTACTTTACAACATCAGCATTACTCTGTTACTAAGGCCAGACAACAGCACTACAATAAAGGAAAATTATGGAGGCCAATATCTCTGATTAACATAGATGTAAAAATTCCCAACGAAATAGTGGTGTATCAGATTCAGTGGCACATTAAAACAATCATTCACTATGATTGAATGGAACTTTCCCCTAGGATGGAAGGATGGTTTTTTATACTCAAATCTGTAATTAGGATATACTCACTACCAAATTTATAAATGAATTTAATTCAGTCTCTATCAAAATTCCAATAATACCTCGATAATGTTTTTCAAAGAAGTATTTAAAAATTCTAAAAATTTTACAGAAGCACAAAAGTCCCCAAGTAGTGAAGCAAACCTTAGCAAAAAAATTACACTTAAACATATCACACTGCCTGATTTCAAAATATGTTACAAAGCTGTTATATTTAAAACAGCATACTTTTACAACAGGTACTGTTGTTAAAACAGGTGCATAGACTAGAACTAGATACCCCAGAAATGAACCTATGAGTTTATAAGGTTGAGTTGATTTTACCAAGAACACGCGATGGAAAAAGGACAGTTGCTTCAGAATAAAGATTGAAATTGCATGCTTATCTCATACCACATATAAAAATAAAATCTGAAGCTTAAATCATACCATCTAAAGTTACAAAACTACACTGCATGAAAACGGGGGGAAGTCTCCTTGGCATTGTCTTGGGCAATGATGTTTCAGTTTTGTTTTTCCATAAGGATAGGTAACAAACAAAAGCAGATAAGAGGGACTGCATCAAACTAAAAAGCTTCCACTCAGCCAAAGAAACAGATAATAGTGTTAGAAAACAGCTTATAGCCTGGAGAAAATATTTGTACATCATACATCTGATTAGGGGTTAATATACAACAAAAATAAAAACTCAGTAGCAAGAAAACATAATCCATTTGAAAATTCCTGATGGACCTAAATAGGCATTTCTCACAGGAAGATATACAAATAGCCAACATATGTATTTTAAAAATGCTCAGCATCATTTACCATCAGGGAAATGGAGATTTTTAGATCAAAATAAGTTATCACCTCACACGTTACATGGTTGTTATCAAAAAAGATGAAAGCTACTATATTAGTCTGCCTTCCATTACTGAAAGTTCTTCGATAATCAACTCAAGAGGTGTCAGTCAGTGATCAGTTGATCACCTTGCTTTTGGGCCTGTGACAAGGCTGCACATCAGGCTAGGAAGCTCATGGTAGAACAAAGCCACTCACATCCTACATGACCAAGAAGGAGAAAAAAGAAAAAGGGGCTGAGATCCCACAATCCCTTTCAAGGGGATGCCTCTAGTTCATCTTCTACTTAACTCACAGTGGACTTCTTCCTTGTCTGTGACTAAAGCTGAACTCAACTTTTAAAGCCAGGGGTATAATTTTTATAATATACAATGTGGTGTTATGTCCTTTAATGTTTAGAGTATTTTGGAAGTTTGTATTTCATATTCTACAACTGTAGCATGAAGGCACTTGCCCAAAGTTATCTGGAAAGTGATACAGTATTCAACCCTACCCCTTCTAATTATAAATTCAGATTTCTTTGGTTGTTATTTTTTTCACATACCACAGTTGTTTCTTCTTGAATCTTTAGCTTCCTAAATGTAAAGTTTTGTCAGCCACTCCCGTTCTATAAATTTTTTGTGATTTTTTTTTTTTTTCTCAATTCATTCTCTAATGAACAGCCATCTATACTGGTGTCTCTTCTGCTATTGAAAAAATATATATACAGCTATAGCTACAGAGATATGTATAATATATGTGTACAGAAAGTTCTTACTTTTTTTTTGAAGGGGGCAGTGCTAGGAATTGAGCCCAGAACCTTGCATATCTTTCTTTTAGAATGGGAATTTCTTGAAGGCTAGCACCATGTTTGATCTCTGTATACCTAGCCTTTTTTTTTTTTTTTTTTTTTAAGTTTTGGGGATCATGCATGGAAGGTAAGAGCTATATCCCCAGCCCTTCTATAACTTTTTAATTTGGGGACAGAATCTTGTTAAGTTGCCCAGGCTGTCCTTGAACCCAGAATTCTCCTGCCTCAGTGTCATAAGTAGCTGAGATTGCAGGCATGTGCCACCATGCCCGGCTTCTCTGTCTTTTAAACTTGTGCTTCAACTTAAGTGGTTGGTGAACATCTGCCGAAAGGAACTTCTGTTTCAATTATGAGCTTGCTTTAATACCGCTAAGAGTCCTAAATTTTTATCTCAAACAGTTTGGTTATCATCTCCAGAAAGTTTTCCCTGACCACTCCCCCATTCCCTGCATGATAAGTTAGGTACTCTTCCCTGAATTTATGTGTCATATCTGTATATGTTGTATGGTGCTCCTGGAGAGCACCGCAGACTACATCTTTCACACAGGTACACAGCGTGGTGCAGGCGAGGTTTGTAAATGTTTGTTGAATGATAAAGGAAATAAATGAATGCAGTAAACAATGAAAATAGAATCACAGATTTTTAAGCTGTTTTTAAAATTCTGATTAAATAGTTCTCTAGATTCAGAGAATTTTAGGGCATCCATGACTGATACCAAGAGATTATCTATTCTCATCAGCAAACATTAATGAAAAAAAGATTGTTTATCTCATTTTTTAGAAAAAGCTTTTCCTAGCCTGTTAGATGGCTGATACGAAAATGTGAAGAGATTGGGAGTCCCTTATACATAATTAAGTAGCTCATTCTTGCAGATACTTCAATTATTCATATTTGAAATATACTTTTTCAACAAAATCTGCTTTTTAGATACCTGCCTTTAAAGATCTTACAGTTGTAGGATTTTTTTTTTTCGGGGATTTTAAGAGATTGAGATATTCTATACTTTGCAAAGGAAAATTGAAAAATGGGTTTGGGGAACACCTGTCGAAAATTAGTCATGGTTGTAGTATGAGGTAGTACTGTTATGGAAAGGGGATGTGACTTGATTGAAACAATTTAGACAGAGGATAGATATGGGACAGTAAGGTAAAGGGAGTGAGAAAAGAAAAAAAAGTATGCTATATAAAATGTTCTCTTTTTTCCTGCACCATGTCTCTCAACCCTCCTTCTTAACCTGATTTATCTCAAAGGGAGGAGTGGACACTAGGTGAGATGAAGTGATAGCTGAGATGAGACCCTAGCTCGTAGAGGATTCAAAGTTTGTCATGTTGGTCCTTTATTTTCTTCTTCTTTCCTGTGAATCATGAGCGTAGCAAAGAAACATGGAATGTACTTTGTAGACTGTGAGACTTTACCTGTTTGACTACACTTCAAAGTTAAAAGAAACTTTATGCTCCAGATATTTTACACCCTGAAATACAAAGGCAATTCAAGAGCAGTTGTCCTAGTAAGTGTATTGCTTTGCAGAGAAGGCTCCTTCACTGCTTTAAAATGAGAAAAGGTTTTGAATTTTTTAAATGTTGAATAGCTTAATCCAAGAAGAGAGCTTGGCTCTAGAGAATGAAATACTGAGGAAGGATTAGGATTGCATGTAGAATCAAGGCTTTTATAAGAAATAGTGGTAGAGCCAGAATAGCAAGTAAATGGCTTAAAGCAAGGACCATTCATTAGTTTACTCCAAAGTGCATCTTTATTATCTTGTCTGTGCAAAGCATTAAAAAGCCTGTCTTAAAGATGAGAGGAAAAATAATATGATTCTTTGTGTTAATGCTTGGATATGTCTGGAAAGGAAACACTGAGCATACTAAGTCAATGGGAGTAAATAGCTCAACTTCCTTATTTAGAACTGCCAGACTAACTGGGTCAGTAGCTCTAAAATTGCTCCACGGTATCCTGATTTTATTCTGAGGCACATCAGCTATATTCCCTATCCTTCAGCCACAGCAACCTACTTTTATAATTATGTATTCACATTATATGTTATGCATTATAATTTTATGTAATATTTTGTTTGAGCCTGAAGAAGGACAGTAACCCTATGGGAAAAAGTTAGAAAACCACTGATGAAATATCTCTAGGATCTCTTCCAGCTTTAAAATCTGTGATTCAGTAGCTCATCTCTAATATTCTTTGTAGCTCTACTTTATAAGATTTTGATTCTGTTTGTTTGAATGCTTTACTGGCAAATATTCATTTCTAAGTTAGGCTTTGAGTTTGATTCTGAAGGTTCAAATAGGTTCCCTATTTTTATAACTTAAGTACATACCACCATGTTTTTTAAAATAAAAAATTTACTTAATAAATAGCCCTCATAGACTATTTTTTTAGCACAGTGATAGGCATTTAGCCATATACTTTGTTTGGATGCTCTTTTCACCCAAGACAATAAGTATTTGCTAGTACTCTCAACCAGGTTAAATGTTTTAAATCTCAGTATTTTGGAATTTTATTCTAACCTAGAATAGCATCCTAGTTCCTACATTGAAGCTGACATTTTTAATATGTAAGTTTCAACTGGTGTTGCTGAAAACAAAATAAACAGAGCATGTTTATCATTGTCGGGCATGTAGTAAATTTTCAATAAACGTTTATTGAATTAAAATATTATTATTACATCTCATGTTTAATAGCCTTCCTTTTACACAGAACTTTCATATATAGTGTACATGTTATCTTCCAGTAACACTAAGGATAATGTACTATATGTATCTTTTTTTTATTAATGAGAAATTTGAGAACCCCTGCAGTGTGGAAATGGCAAGTTTGAAAATGTTACTATCGTTTCTGCCTGCTGAGCATTGACCGGTATGAGCTTTTTGAGAAACTCATAGTTTGCTTTGTCTCTGACTTTCATAGTTACATATTTTTCTCATTTATTAAGGACTTAACTGTAGACTAGGGATAAAACAAAGATTCCTATCTTCATTGAATTTGTTAGCAGCCTTCATTTTCTCTCAGTCTCCAACCTTAGGTTTACAAGCTTGACAGCAAGTTTAGAAATATATTTGAGCCTTAAAATGCAAAGTATTAAGTTTAACTTTAGCAAATAACTTCATATTTGACAAAGCTATTGTAACATCAATGTCTTGTGACAGTTACATAACTTTAGAATTTCATATCCTAAAGTTACCATGAATCTAATGAGGACTTTCCTTAAATAGCAAAGCACCGATGTTCATATGGTTAGTGATAGCGATGGAGATGACTTTGAAGATGCTTCAGAATTTGGGGTGGATGATGGAGAAGTATTCGGCATGCCGTCATCTGCCCTGAGAAAATCTCCAATGAGTGAGTATTAATAGCTCTTTGGGGCCAGCATTACAGTTCTCCCTTCTAGTATTCAAAGTTAGAAACAACGACATTAAAAATCTTTTACTGGCCTTTAGGTTTTGACAGTGGACATTCATAATTTGAGTTTTGATTTATATTAAGCCCAGAGATTCCTAATGCAGTAATCAAATCTCCAAACATTCATAAGAATATAACCTTCGATTCATATGTGAGTTTTGACTCTCTATTCCAAACCTACAAAAACCTATATTTTGTGTGAGTATTGTCTCCATATCATATCAGAGATATCAATGTGAAGAATAGCAATGGTACTTTTTCATTCACTGCTACCCATGTTTGGAAGGAAAACAGTATAAAATAAATGTGCCATTTCTCCCTTCTACTCAGGAGATACATATTATAGAATGACAAGCAGTGCTATATGCAAAATGATCACAATGTCTTTAAATGGTTCACTTGATTTATGAAATTAGAGAAGTCCATACTATGAACAGAAATAGATGTAATATTTAGTTAAAATTGACAATTTTCCAATTATTGAGATACTTAATTTCAGATCCTTTTACATAATTTAATCACAAGATGTCTATTTCAAGAAAACATTGAAATTTTGACAACTGGCACATATTTTGGATGCTTGAGAGGATTGTGTCTGTTGATTTCCAAAATATATGAGCTTGGAATATTTTAAAGGCTCTTTTTGATTCTAGTGTAATGAAATCTCTTAATGTATATTGAGTTAAAGTATCCCCTCAGATATATCACAGAAGCTAAAACTTGATTTTATTTCCTCTTTATTGATTAAATATATTTCTTATATGTGGGATTAGATGTTATGTGGTTTGTTTTTTGTGTCTATTTGTTTTGGTTTTTTTGTTTTTGTTTTTTCTTTTGTTTGTTTTTTAGTGCCAGAAAACGCAGAAAATGAAGGAGATGCCTTATTACAATTTACAGCAGAGTTTTCTTCAAGGTAGGGTTAGGATATTAACTATATAAAATTGACATTCTTTTATGCTACTGTGATGTTTTCAGGGAAAATTTTAATCGTAGAATGTTTAAAACTTATTCTTAAAAATTTCCAATGTATATCATCAATGTATGTCCTTATAGGGAAACATAGTGTTCCATGTGAGATAATTAGGAAACCATTCATGCCACTTAAGAGACATACTTAACTTACTCTGTATCATTATAAGAATGTAATAAATAGATTAAAGTCATAATTTTATGTTCCCAAAAAGAATAAGATGTAGGATATTGATTTTTAGTATATCCTAGGACAGACAAAAAATGTTTTAAATAATATTAAAAGAATAATTTAAAATTTCTAAATGTAAGTGAATTTTTTCATTGAATTTTTATTTTGGAGTTCTTCAGCATTTCTTCTTTGAAGACTTATAAAATTTTTTATATGCATTTAGGAGTATCTAAGATGTTTAAAAATAAAGAGAATTAATATTTAACCTTCAATTTTGGAATAAATGATATTTCTCTTTAATGTTATTTTCTGATGTAATATACAAACTTTATAAGAACCTTTCCTCCCTCCCTGTTGCAGTTCCCAAGTATATGAACGAAGGGGGAGGTTAAGGCTAACATAATAATGTAATCTTAATGAAAATGAATAGCCAAGAATTGTTCTTTAAAAATGGTATGACTTCAGAGCATTTATTAAATCCACTTGCTGGATATACGTAAAAGTGCAGTGTTCTGCAATAGGATAGGGTTAGGAGAATTCTAAAAAATGTTGAGTCTCATGTCCCTGCTTTTAAAAAAATGTGTGGTCTACACTAGACTTTAGCTCCAGCATTGAAGAGTCATTGATAAGGCTTAAGGAACTTTCAGGAGAATTTGAAATGTATCTTAATAAACCCAATTTTTTTCTATAGATATGGTGACTGCCATCCTGTTTTTTTTATTGGCTCATTAGAAGCTGCTTTTCAAGAGGCCTTCTATGTGAAAGCCCGAGATGTAAGTACACACTACCTTTTCTAATTAAGAAAATCCATCTTGTGAGTTTACTGTAGACCTGAAGCATCCTCAATGCTTTCTGGTTTCACCTTGAAGTTAAAGACTTGATTTTGTTTCTGGTTCATCTACCAACCTTATCTTTACCCCAGTGCCCATTTTAGTGGGGGCATTAGTGTAAGGGGGTACTGCTTATTTTAAGTCTGTCTGTTTGTTTTACAGGAGAAAAAAGGTAGATCTTCTTACAAGGGACCAAGCAATATGTTTGTATTCTTTTCACTTGTATAAATGACAAGTTCTTGACAGGATTTTTCCTTCAATTTTTCCCAAAATGGCTATTCCATGTAACAGTACAGGGTGTTATATTCTAAGACCCCATGGTGAATGTCTAAAATCTTACACAGTACGAAATTTTATGTATGTGGGCTGAGCATTCCTAATCCAACAGTCTGAAAACCAAAGTGATCCAAAACCTAAAACAATTTTGGCATCCATGACAATCAAAAAGTTTAGATTTTAGAGTATTTCACATTTTTGGATTAGAGATGCTCAACCAGTAATATCTGTGTATGTACTATCAAATTGGTGGGGAGAGTTCAAAATCTTAAACAGTTCTGGTCCCAAGGATTTTGGATAAGGAATTTTCAGCTTGTACCATGCTTCCCGCCCCCCACCATTCATTCTTATGATAAAGATTTTTTTGGTTTGGTGTGTGTGTAGTATTTTGTTTTTGATTTTTCATTTGGTTTTTGGTGCTAGGTTTTGAAATCTCAAACTTACGCGTGCTAAATATGTCCTCTACCACTGAACCCACCTCCATTTTAAGGTTCAATGAATAAATTAGGCATTGTAAGAAATTAACAATTACAACAGTATATGTAATAAAAGTTATGAATGTAGTATCTATGTGTGTATGTCTCTGTCTTACAATCTCTTATTGTACTTCTACTAACTCATCTGAAAGAAGCACTCTTCAGCTTCTCTTTAACAGGTATGAATAACCGGCATCACTATTCTTGCACTTTTTCAGCCATTATTAAGTAAAATAGGGTAACTTGAACATGAGCATTGGGAAGCCTTGGTAATCTATCTGAAAATCAAGGTGGCTACTAGACAACAATAATGAGCAAGAGACATAGACAGCATGGACAAGCTGGACAAAGGGGGCGTTCACATCCTCGGCAGAGTTCATCAGGCTACTCAGAATGGCACATAGTTTAAAACTTACACATTATTTATTTCTACAGTGTCCCATTTAATGTTTCCAGGCCACATTTGACCACAGGTAAGGGAGAAGCTGTTCTTTATATCTAATAATAGCAGTATTTCTTTCTTCAAAAGTCACTATGGGCAAAATTACGATTTTTTGAATATAAAAATGGGCTTTGTGATCTTGAAATCATGTAGATTAAAATTTATTAGAAGAATTTATAAAATACATTTATGAATAAATGTATTTATGTACACTTATTACATAAACTACATCACTATTTGTGTATTAATAAAAACAATTAAGACCTCAATAATTGCCCCAGCTATCTATACAGCTTAATTTCTTCTTATTCCCTTCTGCTGAGGTTTGAATGACCCCTCCAAAAGTTACGTTGACATTTAATTCCTGTTGTGACAATGTAGAAGAGTACTGTCCTGTAAAAGATGTTTAGGTCCCACGGTACCACCTGGAATCATTAAGGCCTTCATCTCTGGAGTTGTGGTTATTGGAATTTGGTCTCCTTGTTCTCTGTCTCCTTCTCCCTCTGCCTCCCCAAGTAAGGCCCCTCATCAAATGTAGTTCCTGTCTCTCTGATGTAGTGTACCATTTATTTTTCCCCATAATCTCACTGTTGCGGTTTAGAGATAAAATGACCCCCAAAGTCTCATGTGTTTGGAAGGGTGATTGGATTATGAGGGTAACTGGCTTGCTCTTGGGAAGGGGGTCTGATTGAAAGAGGCAGGTCACTGGGTTGTGACTTTGGAGAGTAGTATATCTCCCTTCCCAACTCCTCTCTTCACTCTCTGTTTCCTGACAGCCATGAGATGAGAAGCTAGTCCTTCACTAGGCCACTATGCCATAGCATTCTGCCTTAGAGCCAGCCGACTATGGCCTGAAACATGAGCTAAAATAACCCTCTCTTTCTTTTAGTTGGGAGCATTGGGTATTTTGTCCTAACAAGGAGAAAAGTGACTAAGACACTTACTCTACCTCCCTACTGCCAAGAATGCCTTTTATCTAGCTTTTTGCTTGGACAACTTTTCCTTTTCCTCTTTCTCTGAGACTTAACCTTTGCTGACTCTTCTACTTAGGTCACATTGGCCACACCCACCATTTTATTATTTTACTCTGAAACCCTCTGTTCTTATTGTTACAATTAACACATTGTTTATAATTATCCATTCTGTATCTTTCTTCCCAGGTTAGTTTTTCTTTTGGCAAGAGCTGTGTCCTACAAGTTTATGGATTTTATAAATACAGATTTATGGAAAATACCACAAAACAAAGAGAAAGTATTCTAATACAGATAATAGTTAACTTTATTCTGTATAGTCATATTTTGGTACTTGTTGCATTTTGATGAGAAAAATGTTTCAGCATTTCAGAGTTGCATCAGTCTTGTCGTAGCTCTCAAACAGCACAGAACCCCCACGTTTGTCTTTACCTATAGTACTGTTATGCATCTTAATTGCTACTCCTGGCTTGCAAAAAACAGTTAAGAGTGGTACCACTAGACCTAAAAAGGCTTATATTAGCCCAGTAAAAGCCCCATAAGATATAAAAGTTCTAGAAAATTTTCATGAATTATTTCTAATTACATTACTTCTTATGGGGAAAAATTTACTCCCCATTTATCATGAGTTCCAGGACAAATCAATGATGAATACTGAGGTATGACTTTATCTTCTTTCTATTTTTTATGATGTGTTGGGTGTATATGTTTATGGATATTTGATGTAAAATTGATTCATTATACAATCCTATTATCATAGCTTTTTTCCTTTCTATTGTTATATTGTCATTTGTTTAGTATTTGTTATTTTCTAATATTTTAACTTTTTACTATAAAAAATTTAGCACAGAAAAGAAATAGTACAATGAACATCCAACTCCCTTATACCCAGATTCAATAATTATGAAAAAATGTCATACATTTTTCTTTCACATGTAAGCATCCCAAAGTCTTAAGAGTTTTAAGCTTTAGTAACTTCAAAAATTAAACTGCTACAAACTGACAAAAAAGCAGCATTTGAAATTTGAATATTTATGTTTTTGTGCTTATTTGGATTTGTAATTTCAATGAATAAGTTTTTATGATGAATTTTTATTTTGGTTTCCTTCTGATTAAAAATGGTAAATGTTGGTTGGAACAGAAAATACATTAAAATTTTATTATTCAGGGATAGAGATGTAGCTCAGTAGTAGAACATGTACTTAGAATGCGTGAGAACTTCAGTTCAATCCCCAGCACCACAAAGGCACAAAATATTATTCAAAATTTATAAAAACAAATGTAAGATCTATATAGTGAAAATTTCAAATGATTTTTATGTTATAGCAGTTAAACTTTTAAAGTTATTAGTACTTGAACACATAGGATATCTTATGTATTCATAATTTTTACTGAAATATTTCAAAGTACAGTCATATCTTGATATTTGACTGCTGTGAAATTCATCAAATTTGGTCCTAATTCGTTTGTTTGGTACTTGCCTCACAAATCAGAATTGTCGGTGTCAGCTGCCCTGTGACTCATTACCCTTTCCAGCCAAAACAGTTTGTTTACTACTCGTCCTTTTGGATACTCATTGTGTTTCCTGGAACAGATTAACAACTACCAAGGTAGCACTGGAAATAATATCTTACTCTATCCTGAAAGCTTCAGCATGCGTTTTGCAGAAATAATGATATTCTCCTACTTCATCACAATGCCAATATCATATGAAACAAAATTAACAATAATCCCCTAACATTATTTAATACCTGGTGCATTTTTAAATTTCACCAGTTGTCTCAGAATGACTTTTTAGCTGTTTTGTTTTGTTTTGTTTTGTTTCATTTTGGAACCACAGTCCATTCAAGGAACACAAACTATATTTAAGAATGAGATTTCTTAAATATCTTTTGAGGAAGAACTATTTCTTCTTTTTTTCCATGACATTTGCTTTGTGAAGAAGTTAGGCCACGCAATTTGTAGATTGTTCCAAATGCTGGATCTGTGCATTTGTTTCTTCATATTATTTACCTTTTTCTACAGTTTTTGTATTTTCCTGAAAAATGGGTATTTTTTCTAAATGCTGTGTTAGATTCAAGTAAAAAAATTCGTAAGAATCTTTTCTAAGGATGAATGCTATAGTAAAACAGGAGTTTAATGATTATGGAATCTTCTATTACATGGGCATGCTATTATGTTTAAGTGATCGCTTATTGTAGGATATAAGCATATCCAAATTATTCCTCTATAAGAGTGTATTTGGATATATCTGCCTCTGTTTTGTAGCAGAATTGCTAAGCAGTTGAGATAAACAGAAAATGTCAGTGTTTTTCATAACTTAAACTCCCTAAATAGGCAAAGATATTTTTTAAACTCTTTGAAAAGTGTCTGTAAGATATACTGTGTATACCTCACCCGATATACTTTTAAATGCAAACACTTAAATATACAGTATATTAGAGATAAAAGAACTTTCGCTAAGTAACTTGTACAGTAAGTTGGCACTTAGATATATTCAGCCTGTTAATCCCCAAGGAACATAAGCTCTTATTTATTAACTCCTGGATATTTCTAATGAAACAATTGATTGCTTTTTATTAGGGTCTACGTATTTTAGCAGATGAAAATTATTGGTTCATGTAACCAAATGTCTTACTTCATAATAGATTCATAAAATACCCTGACATCTTTGGACTACTAAAATGTCTTTATCTTTCTCCCCTTATTCAAGACTTTTTTTTCTTTCCCTATTTCTGTTTTCTAAATTAGAGATCAATAATTTATACATAGTTTATT